GGATTAGGGCTTTGGGGCTTAGGGTTTGAGTGTATCCTAAGCCCGAATCCCAGCTAGGGGTATCCTGCACTCTAAGCCTGGAGCCCTAAACCCTTAGAGTTGAGAATCTCAATGTGTCCATATTTTAAACATAGCAAAACGTAGCAGCCCGAGCCTGAATAGGTGGATGGGGGTTTGGGCTATACGGCTTCGGGTTTAGGAGTTTAGAGTGTAGGGTTTAGGGGTTTAGGGTTTAGGGGTGTGGGGGTTCAGGGTATACTTTTAACTTGATAAAGAATACTAAGACTCAGAATAAGACTCATAACAATGCGGACAATAAGAATAACAATCATGATGAGACAAATAATCATGACAAGCACATGTGTAGCAATCATAGTACTACTCACAACAGTCAAACTGATAATAATCATGGCTTTCTTCTTCTGTGTCTTCTTATTTTCCACTCGTAGAAGCACTATATTACTATTTGGCAGGGACTCTAAGGGAATGGTATTGGGTCCCTGTATACGTTCGGGTGTATGTAGTGCTCTAGGGTCTGGGTTTGGTGATAGGTTTAAGGGGCAGGGGTTCGGGTTTAGGGTTTCGGGTCTGCGTTTGGTGTTTAGGGTTCAAGGGGCAGCGTTTAGGGTTTAGGAGCTTAGGGGCTTGGGGTTTATTTTAGGGTCTCAGCGTGCAGAGTTTGAGGGATGTGGTCTTCAAAGTAGCCAGGGGGTTCATGGATGACACCATGCTGTAACTGGCCACCAAAAGGCTATCCCTTTACGAAAATTTGTAGATTCTGAAATGTTTTTCGGCGACCTCTGTGCAGGATTCTGCAGACCGGTCACGAAACTTGGGTGTTGAAAGGTTCAGCCTGTGGTGCGCACAGGAAGTACAATAATCACAATGCTTCACGGAGGCTGAGGTTGACCCACGGACTCTCCAAGCCGCAAAACCCTCTAAACGCTAAGCCCCCCGCCCGAAGCCTCAAAACCGAAAAATGCGGGCAACTCGCCTGTCATGCGGCTGAGATTCTGCGACGTGCAGCCACAAGGCTAGATCCCTGAGCGAGATATGCCATAAGATCCGCCCTAAGCCCTGATCCTCAACGCCTAAGCCCCCAAACGTTAGATCACCAAGCCCTAAACCCTAAACCCAGAACAACCTTTTAGGAAGACTGCCATGCGACCGTAGGCGTAGGTCCACTTCAGGAAGCGCCTCACAAAGTTGAGGCTGTAGGGGTTTAAGGCTTAGGTTTTAGGGTTGAGGGGCTAAGGGGTTTAGGGTTTATGGGTTAGGGGCTTTGGGCTTAGGCTTTAGGATTTAGGGGTTAAGGGTTTAGGGTTTAGGGGTGTGGGGTTTAGGGGTTCGGGGTTGTTGTCGGAGCGAAACATCTTTAAGGCTTAGTGACCCGCATCTAAATGGCGCCGAGAATAATGTTAAAGCGTTTCAATGCCTTTTCGTGATCTTACGGCTGATTTCCGATATGGGTTTACGGCTACTTTGCTGAACATACTGTGTAATTTTAGCACGAAGGGCTTCCTGCATCGATTCTTCTAAAGATCTGCCAACCACAGCCTTCTTTAAAGCCCTGATGTGCTGTCTCTCTTTCTCTCTCTCAAGGCCATCTGGCGAGTTCGCGTCAAAGCCGAGCAAGCAGCACAAAGGTTGCACCACATCTGTCCCTAGGGCTAACCCGCGACCCCATTGCAGGATACGACCTTGCATGGAGAGGTAATTTGTTGCAAGCTGGGCGCTTTTGGCAATCATCTTTTCTGTACCGGATCACCTCCGGCAGCCTCCGGCGCTGAGAAGCTGGCAAACATCGGCATGGCGAACATGCCCTGTGCTGAAGTACGCCTCAAATCCACCGGTGCTGTGAGGCCGCCGCGAGGTAGTGAACCCCCCCCCTCCCCCAGCGTACCCTTCTTCTGCCTCGTTGTCGAAAAATCGCCTTCGCCAGCTAGGTAGTGAAGCAAAACGTGCTCGCAATGGCAAGATATCCAGCCACATCCACTCTGTGCAACTGGATGATCATGTCCTACTTAACATCGGCCTGTGTTGTGTAAGCGGGGTCGACGCCCTTCGGTTGTACCGCACCCCAATAACTTGATCGTGTGCGCCAAGGCTGCGCATCCTGGAGCCTGCCACCATCCTGCTGCATGTCTTGTGATGGCACACGCTGCGGACCCAGATTTGCGACACCGAGTTGCCGAGTGGCCAGGCTTTCCGCACATTGTACAAACTGCATTTGTCTTGGGTTTTGCCTTTGGTGTTCCGGCCTATAATGGGGACCCCAATAGTGGTTGGGGGGTGAACTGTAGTAAACATGTCAAAAGGAACCTCAGGGGACAGTATTGCTGCTGCTACACAGGGGGGTTTCCGAAAATAGGGGACTCTGATATCTAAATAGTAGGATCCTTACATAAGGACCCCAAAACGTCCGAAAATAGGGGACTCTGATATCTAAATCGTAAGATCCTTATATAAGGACCCCAAAACAAGGTACCCCGTGTTTTCGGCAACTGCCATAGCCAAGCTTCTAAAGTACAGACTGATTCAGACCCCCACTTCACGGATCATGAGAAAGCAGCAAGCAGTCTATGATTGGGGGTTATAAAGACCTGAACAGTTTCTGGTTTAGGGTTTAGGGTTTAGGGTTTAGGGTTTAGGGTAGGAGTTCTCCGACCTCTATCTGCTATGTGTCCCCTGCATACGAAGCCACCAGGAAGGGAAAACGACCCAGATTAAGGCCTGACAACATGCTTATTAAAGCTCGGCGAAGTCCCCCCCTGCCTCCAAACATAATAGTGCAAGGGCCTTAATACTTAGAATAGGGTTTTGGGCTCCTTTATAATGTTTTTGTAATAACGAACCCTAACAGTAATATTGGTACTTATTTAGGCTTCTAGGCCGTCCATCCCCTATCGCTGGAAGACTCCGGCTCCAAAGCAACCATAGGCTCAACCTGAACCCGAAAGAACCTTTCGTTTCAGGGGTCTTTCATCAGGAGATACGTATAAAGTTCCGCGTGTAAGCCTTTGGGACGGTAGCTTGTCTTTTGGGTGCCGCCAAGCGTACCAGGTGAAGTAGGACGCACAGAGCTGAAGCATAAGGACCTAAGCCTTGTAAACCCGACCTGAAAACCTGCAAGAACCCCATGCCAAGATACTCAGGATCTAGGTGGATTCGGGGTTTGGTGTTACGGCCTGCTGCTAACCACTTGCTCACATGCGGTCTTGAGGAAGGCCACATCGTTGACCTGCACGGCTCTAGCACGCGTGGATGTTTTCTCAGGGTCCTGTCAAAACCGGGACAACTGGCAACACACTTCCTCGTAGAAACCCCAGACGAAAGCGGACCTGCCCTGCTACTATTTTGGGGACAGGTATCCGGAACAATGACCATGTGCCTTAGGAGGCTAGGGCTCACAAGGTAGGGAGTCCTGCTGTTCAAGGACTGGAGCACTTACGAAGTGTACGTAAAGATCGAGGTTTGGGTAACCAATCCCTATACCCTAAACCGTTTATCTTACCTAAACCCTAAACCCTAAACCCTAAACCCTAAACCCTAAACCCTAATCCGAAGATCTTACGGGCCTTGTCCAACCCCACAGAAAAGCCCATGGAACCTGAGGAGCGCAACACACTCAGGTGTAAAGTTCTGCAGATCTCTATGCTGCCGGACCGAACCCTGTCTTCAAAGCGTCAAAGAGAATAGTCTACAACACAACTTTCCTAAATTTTTCATGAGGGTTCAGGTTAATATAAATTCACAAACAACATCGACCTGGGTGCGTGAATACCAGCCTAAACCCTAAGCCCTAAACCCCTAAACCCTAAACCCTGAACCCTAAACCCTAAACCAGAAACCCTAAACCCTAAACCAGAAACCCGGAACATCAGCCCATGAAGGCCGAGCCCAGGAAATTCGTATCCCGATCCCTCTCGCAAACTCAGATTTAGGGTTGATAGGGTTTAGGGTTTAGGGGTTTAGGGTTTAGGGGTTTCGGGTTTAGGGGTTTCGGGTTTAGGGTTTAAGGGCTTGAGGGTTTAGGGCTTAGGGGGTTTAGGGCTGGCATAAGCGTCATCACAAGACATGTAGCCCTGTACATGAACATCGTCTCCTCGCTCTGGTCTCTGGAGCCCAATATTCACAGGTAAGGATTTCAGGGTTATCAACCCTAAACCGCTAAACCCTAAACCCAAACCCTAAACCGTAAACCCAAACCCAAGCCCTAAACCCTAAACCCAAACCCTAAACCCTAAACCCTAAACCCTTTCGTCTTCATCATCGCTGTCGTCGTCGTCACCTACATGCACACCATCGACATCATCTCGGTCAGCTGCTCGCAGGCACTCCTTGAGAGCCGCCGGCACAAGACATGATAATCGAGGGGCCTTAATGATTAAAGGGGTTTAGGGTTTAGGGCCTTAATAATTTGAGTAAGGTTGTGGGGTATATTCGACTGTAACTTTGATTAGGAACCTCCAAAATAGTATTGGTAACTATTTAGGCCCCTATGTTACAGATGTTGAAGATCGGCTTTGGACACCTGGGACCCGATGATGCCGAGCATGCTGATGCGAATGATGACGATTCTGACCGCCATTATCATGAGCCTAAACCCTAAACCGTACCAGTGACACAGACTTTTTCTTCCGCTGCAGCTCTGAAGCAAAGTCTTTCAAAGCTCTCTGCACCTTTACCCTGCAACCGTGGTCCCACTTCCATCTCTCTATCAGAGAGGATGCCTTGATAACACTGAAACTTCTTTACCTTTGGCAACACCTCGTGGCTTGCGAGAGGAAAGGGTTGGGGTGGCGAGGCTTCAGGCTAGGTCTTGAAGCATCAAGGGCTTTTGTAGAGTTGAGCATAGGACTGCCGGAAGGACTCTTCACAAACCCAGATCAACTCGTATAAACAGCACGAAGTGGTGAACTTCACAGCTGACAGGACTTGGTGCCGCCGGCCACCTTTGCGGCCCTCGCGGCTGTTCACAGTCATCGGCCGGACTTCCAAGAAAGGTCTTACCCCAAACCATACACACTCTACACAAGAGTTCCAATCGGGTTTAGGTTCTTAGGGTTTAGGGCGGTGCGCGAACTGGAGTGGCAGGACAATTGCCGGGACATGGCCTGGCTAGGGCAACTGAGCCCAGCGAAATCTTAACCCTACCAGCCGCCACGCGGGGGTATCTTCTACTCTGAGCAACGAACGTCAGGATTGGTACTACTAACTGTCCCCACTTCTACGTTAGATACTTTGTTCGGGTCTCGAAGAAAGTGGGAGCCACCATGAGCCACAGGGCTCCACACCCCCCTATTAAACTCTATATACTTTAAGGCAGGTGTATATGTACATACACACAGAGGCTGATCTATGTAGTATACCGTATAAAGGTATCTGACTATCGACCCCTTTCTGCCAATTGTATGTAGAGAACGTCTGAGTGTAGGAAAGACCTACACATGGGAGCACCGGCCCAGATGGTACCATTTGGTGCGCGTTAAACATTGTTCTCGCCGGTGGCACGTGCAAATAAGTGCAAATTTGTCAGGGCAGTATCTCAGGTCTAGCTCAATATATAGAAGCCCTAAAACCCTAAACCCTAAGCCCTAAACCCTAAACCCTAAGTCTACCAGGACCTACCTTCTGATGGAGCCCGCGGTGAGGCTCTAGGAGCCCTTCGAGGAGGTTAGGGTTCTATATCGGAGAACTCCACTGAGGGAGTTTCACAAAAGAGGGATGGATACATACATATTTACATATATATATATACAATAACAATAGTTATAACAATATAAAAATCAGAATAAAATAACAACACAAAATATACGTAGAGCAAGAGAGATGTAAGAACATTGACAAATAGACTATAGCTGTAGGTACTCAGGCCGATAGATAAGAACACGCAAACGAAACACAACACATTTTTTAAGATGACCGCAAGCAAGAATACTGAACCTGCAAGAGTAAGCGGCCCCCAATAGGAAAATACGCACTGGACTAAACGAAAGGGAATTTGTACGAAGTGGGGTTTGTATTGCTAGTACCACCATACTAACACCCCACATCAACTCACCGACGCGCGAACGGAACTCCACAATTGGACGCAACCCAAAGCCCCAGTAGAAATGCAACTTCATAAGCCTTGTCCGAAAATCTTGCAACGGTGCTTCTGAGGGCGCTAAACCCTAAAACTAAACAGGACCAGG